ATCGCGTTGACCAGGGCCCCGTTTCACGAAGCTCTCGTAGGCCTAAGATCTCGTAACGTTTCTCGTAGCATTGGTACCTGCTATACTGTAACATAGGAGGTACGAATGCTACGAGAAAAGTTACGAGATCTTAGGCATACGAGAGCTTTGTGAAGGCCTAAGATCTCGTAACTTTTCTCGTAGCATCCGTACCTCCTATATTGTAACATTGACTTACGATAGCCGTAGCGCTACGAGAGATTTGTGAAACGGGGCCCTGTGTCGTAACGACTTGACCTGAAATTCTAACGATTTGATTGGATAACCGACGACCTCTCAATTAGGTCACGTTGTGACGAAATTACTTGTTCATTCATAACAAACACGCGAATTCATTCATTCTACAACTTAAATGCATTGTGGGAATGTAAACAATGCGAACGTTGCCGCGTCGCTGTTTAATTCACACTCCGGCACAGCGATGACTTAACATAACATCACTGCCACAGGCTAATTTGCATATCACGTGACCGGACTTTTCTCTTGTTTGTAATCAAACGCGCATATTCATAATAACAAGAGACTGGACTCACGCAAGCTTTTCGGCGCTTTCTTCATAATGTTTTACATTGTTACATATATATTCTTCCACAACTGCGACAGTTAGGTCTATGACAGTACATATGTAGATATCAAACTGGCTGCATCGTTTGCTCTCCGTCGGCTTCGATGACTGCTCGTGGAGCCCTACAACCTATGTAAACAAAGGATCGCTACGCAAATCGAAATAGTGTTACATGTTTTTGGATATTTTCTCAGTGAAACTAAACCATTCTATTAAAGATGTTTAATTAGATGTGTAGACTCGTCAAAAATAAAAGAGTAAAAGAAATCTGTACATTATATTGAATGGACATTGCAAGATGTGACGAATCGTCACATTTTTCTGGCCTCTGGCAGAGGTACTATGCTGGCTTGCCGCATGGAACTCTGGGTAGGAGAGCGTGTTTAATTGTGAGTCGAACTGAGACATTATATCCGTCTAAAAACATAAACGTAATGTTTCCACCAGTGATGTTAGCCGAGTGAAGCAACTGCAAAACAAGAAAAGGGGTGCTACGGAGTAGTTTAGTCTAGGAGGCTGTACGAGGCGATGACAACTGACATGCATCGTGACGTCTGTTACCAAGGGGACAGACGAGAATGGCGTAGTGACGTCAATACAGTGTGACGTCATGCAAAAGTGACTACAGAATAAAATTCTTCCGCAACCTCTTTATGAAACCGGTTTCGGTCTGAAACCATAACAATAACAAAAATACGCTATTTTGTCAATTTAATGCATGTAAGACGTGGGTAATAAATAAAATACCACACTCGGTCTCATTACATACGAATTACACGAAACTCGTGACCTTCCTATGGTATCTGACCGAGCGATAGCGTTTCGTATAATTCGTATCTAATGAGACCTCGTGTAGTATTCTCTATATACCAGCAGGTACAGGCCAAAGAGACGATGGCTGTGAAGGCCTACGAAAAACCAACATTGACAATATTATGTCATTTTCCATTGGTTGCTATATATTTTTAGACGGCCGCGCTGTCCTCCATCGGAAGACGTCCAAAACACATTTTGTATCGTTTTTAACAGTCGGTCATGCAGGCGCTTGAAGACCTTTGAAAACATAATTTGTTCTTATTTCTTGGCAACTTTTACGTATTTGATATCAAAATTCCCTGGAAATAATAGTAAACGTAAATATTCGTGTTATTTGTGTGAACAGATCGTCGCTTTTCAAATGCATACCCTAATTTCCCTACGCGACAGATTTTTATTATAAGCTTGTCAGAAAACTGTGGGCGAATAAATCCATCTCTGATGTATGAACGAGACAAATATGCAGGTAATTTATACATGTGGAAATCGGTCGAGCCACGAATACAAATTAAATCTCGTATTGTAAATATTCCAAACTTTCCTCGCGGATGACGTTATAAAGGTATGTAGGTGCGCTAACATTGGCACAAAATCAGTAGTACGTCGGAAAATGAATTTAATATTTTTGACGATATATAAGCAACAGCAACAGCAACAAGAAAACGTTTGATGCGATGCATCAACACGGCGGCAAACTATTTGTTCATCAATTTTCACCAAATATTAAATCAACATGGGTAGGCTTTTTAAGCAATGTGATCTTGTCATCAATACAAAGTGGTTTTATGAAACTGAGCAATATAGATAAGGTGTGAAAATGAAGGCGGTGCAAAGTGTACTTGTTTAATATGTAAACAAATCATAACAATTCAGATCTTACACTGCGTAGCATTTAGATTTATGAACGTTTGACAATAAGTTGGTTTGAACATACTTTCTATGAGAAATTGACAATGTTAGTGTTGTATACAAAATCTCGTACCTTTAGACAAGTGTCAGCAGATCTACATATATTCCACATCTGAACATAATGTAATAGTCGGAGTACCGTAGATGCAATGCAACGTTCACTTTTCAGATCCTATGAAACTGTGCATCACAAAATACTTCCGCATCCAGTGGTATTATTTTCAGTAATTTCATTACATTTGAAGATATGTCTAGTAATCTGGGGCGGTGGGGTAGCCTAGTGGTTAAAGCGTTGGGTCGTCACACCGAAGACCCGGGTTCGATTCCCCACATGGGCACAATGTGTTAAGCCCATTTCTGGTGTCCCCCGCCGTGATATTGCTGGAATATTGCTAAAAGCGGCGTAAAACTAAACTCAGTCAGCCAGTCAGTCTAGTAATCTATTAATAATGGTGCAAACTTAGTCAAAACACATCTACATTAACAGGAGAATATGGAATATGAGAACTAAATTATATATTGGATAAGGCCATCCAAATCACTATTACGTGCTTTCTCATATAGTACGTTGTCATATCTTCTTATAAATTGTGAAACTACCTAACCATAACCATATCATTGAGGGACTTTATATTGGAATAGGTTGGTTCATGGTGAACAAACCATAACGAAAATATAGCGTCCGTATCCACAACAAATTCTCTCCAACAATTCTGAGTAACATTGACCTAGTGTTAAACATATCGGAGTTATGCCCCCTTATCTTTATACGTGTATGGCCTCTCTGTCGTCGTTTGACGTCATAGAACAAAATCCTTTTTCGACATTTACTGCGAGTCATTTTTAATGTTGAGTGTATAACGTTATGCATAAGCACATAAACCCATTTCATATACACTTATGTCGTTCAGATATCAGGCTGTATTTTCTTCGCTCACAATTTCCGTGAAGATGCAAAATCAAAAAAATCGTAGCACAGTGCTTTCATCGGTACACGATCAAAAACGGAGACATTAACTGTTTTTTAACGCACAACAAAAATTTTGACAACATTTAACAGTGTCTATTTCTCAAACCGCCGAGGTATTTGCACATGTATTTATACCAACGGATAGGAAATTTAATATTCTGCATTTCTATGTAATTTTATAGCCGTACGCAGATCCAGAACCACGCAACCGCAATTCTCGCACAACCTTCACTTTTCAAACCTTATGATTCCCAGATCTTTCAGCGCGATGGAGTCCAGCTTGACCCATCCGGATGTGACGTCAAATAAACGAGCAGATCGTTTTAAATGGCAGCCTATACCGGCTTCTAGCTTTAGCGCAAGTTAGCGCGCACACAGGAGCCGGGAACCAGCCTAATAATGACCCGTCGTTGAGGAATCAGCGGCCCGCTCATTCCTGATAACTGAGGACGGTTTCATGATAATTCCGTCCATTTTAGCTATAACACTATGATTTATTCATCATTATCAGATTTAGTCGTCTGCACATAATACACATGTTGAAGTTTGAAAAGGGAACTACTTTTTCTGGCGATGGTGTAAGTTCAAGGAGTGATGGGATTAACCTTTGACCTGGTTTAAATAATGAATTTCTTTCACGAAAAAACAGCGTAAAGGTAGTTGAATTAGAATGGGGCATACGCTTACGCGTCGCCGATAGAACTAAACCACCGGTACACGTCCCCAATTCGTCAAACACAGTACAGTTATCCCCAAAGTCTAAGATAAACTATATACAGTCCATTTGAGACCGATGAAGTGCTCACTTACACAAAATTTAATAATTGCAACAAAACCCAATTTTGCAGTCACATGAAATCGACAGACCAAGTCTGATGATTAGTCTCATAACTTTGGACACCCGAATAAAAAAGTTGTTTTAACAAACGATCATTATTTTGTTTTCACTTTTCGTTATTTTTACGAGGGTTGACCACGTGCTGGTAGAACAGCCAGATGTGCGAGTTGTATGTGTGAAATTGAAATTTCACAACACACGCTTGTTGATGGCATATCTATTATGATTAACAGATTGGCTCATTCGTCACTGATGCTGCGTTCCGGAAGTGACGTCACATTCAGTTCCGCTCTTAAAAAGCGTCAGAAGAGAATTCATCTTGGTCCCGCGTATAATATATTTGAAAAAGAAATTGTTTCAGAAAATTTGCCTCGGTGACGTTGAGCAAAACAGCCTTTGCGCTACAACTGTCTAAAGTCTATGCATAGGAGTTGCGCTTAGATCGCTTTTGGACCGCCTCCGTGGTGTAGTGGTTAGAGCGTCCGCCCGGAGAGCGGAAGGTCGCGGCTCGATCCCCGACCGCGTCATACCAAAAGACGTTAAAATATGGTATTTGTTGGTCCCTGCCTGGCGCTCGCCATTAATGGGTACAACAAGGACTGCTCGGCTCGGAGTCAGTATAATGTGTGGGGTATTCATGCTTCACTGCAGCATGGTATCTCAGTGGGCTAGCACTCTAAAACCAGCTTAAGTCTGGGCTAGTACAAGCAGCCGCACATACACATACACACGCATGCACGTCGTCATATGAGCGAAATATTCTCAAGCACGACGTTAAACCCAATTTCACCTCACCTCACCTCACCTAGATCGCTTTTGTACAACTACACTCTTAACATGATGTTGCTGATGTTGCTGTTCAGAGGATGGCAAGGTGCCCGAGGATGACTTTGTGAAACAGTGGCATCAGCGCTACCACGACGATGGCGACTTCGTCGGCTACCTCTTTCACCACTTCGACAAGGACGACGACGAGAACCTGACCGCAAATGACCTTGCAGCTTTGGCGAAAACTCTTGACACTGACGGTGGGTGATCTTTCATGTCACTTGCGTTCACAGAAGGAGGGGGGATTGTGTTTTGTTGTGAGCCTCATGAAATTATTTGTTCAGTGGGGGCAGACGAGGATTCTACAATAACATGTACAAATATGAACTAAATAGAACGTTTTATACAATTGCATACCCCTCTACAACGCAAGCATTCTCGATAATCTCCAAAGTATACGTTCCGATAAATCTTCACTAGTACCCTGGATGCATCTTCGGTATTACCTCCCTTTGCTGGCTTTTTAGCCAATCAAATGTCTACGCGTGGGAGTTGAGCGTACCAATCACGAAGGCTTCTATCAAAACTCACTTTCACTTGTTGCAGAGATAACTGAAAGAGGTAGGAGTTCTTGCATATATATTTTAGGAAGGTTTCAGACCTGTCAATTTGTCTGTATGATTTTTTCCCTAAATCTGAGTCGCGCTGCGAGCAAACCTTCGCGGCTACGGCCGCCATCTTTCTTGAAACTGGCAAGCTCGATTGTAACCGCTTATCTGATTGGCTATTGTGAAAAGGCGGAGCCAGCAAAGGAAGGTAATAAAATTATCGGGCCAAGTCGTAGATGCATCCAGGATACTAGTTTATCGGAACGTATACCCTGGAGTTTATCGAGGATGCAACGCAATGTCACCCATCGTTTCTCCTTTTCTGTACCTGTTTAAGTGGAAAACAGAACACGACCCTGGTAGGCCATTGGTTTTTCAATGTACATTCGTCTTGTTTCTAAAAATATACCCTAGATATAGGCAGTTATGTTGGGCAGTGCTGTATATCAACTCAAGTGCAATACTTAGGGGAAACATATCACTAAGGCGCCACTAATTGACAGTTCTTTCAGCTATGGCCGTTTGCGTTCAGACGGAACCTAGTCACAAAAACGCCTTCAGTGGGACGATGTCGGCTTGTCCCGGAATAACACGAGTTGGTCACAACTGTTTTTAGCATAGACGGCACCAAGTCGCAAAAATGGCCACGAGAAGGGTGCGCGTCTCTGTTTGGCTTGACATGAGTTGGATATGAATGCCGTGAGGGAACATTAACCGCCCATTTAAAACAAGGATTCATGGATTCTTTAACCAACCAGTCGCCTTCATAGCGCCTAAATTTGGAGTTTCCTATTCGTACCAACAAAATCCCACAGAACAGATATATTACATCGTTGAAGCGCTTGTTAATAGTTCCAACAAATGTGAAGAGTTTACCCTTGACCCTCGCTGAAACAGACTGATAGATAAAGTGACCAAGAATATAATTTGTCTCCTTCGTCTGTAACCTTTGACAACGATTAATGTATTTCAGGAAATGGGCAAGTCTCCGTGGCAGAGTTCCAGTCCTTCATGATCAATGTACGTCACGTTACAATATAGCTTTTTACTGATCCATGTGTAAATGCTCAGATTCCTGTCCGCCATATTAACTTTAGCAATAACATAAATTCCACACGTGATTGTGATAATGTGATAATACATCGAAAATGAACTTTAAATGCAATTATAATAATGAAACCAATGTCGAAAAAATACTAGGAAAAGTTTATTTGGGGATCGGCAGCCTGAATAATTACTGTAACGGGGGGGTAGCGGATAGTTCTTGAAAATATAGTTTTGCTAGAAACAAGCACTGGAAGCTGGCTTGACCGAGGCACTGTGTCACTGATATACTTTTCGTATGTTGCAGCTCTACGTCAACTGTGTACCGTCGAAATATTCTCACGGCCCTTGAGATCAGCTGTCAAATAAAACATTCTGATGTACGTTGTCATCTTGTTTCATTTGTCAGCGTAGGTGGCGATAGTCCTACTTAGTTGGTGATGACGATCAAGACACCGGTGGTGTAAGGGCCGCTACTGGGCATCGGGATCGGTACATAGTGTAATGATGAGTTAAGGATTTTCAGGGTGCGTACTATGAGCATACGCAATTCTTTGACCCAAGCTTCTTGGTCGACAATCAAGATGAGGAGATGACGCCTAAACACCTGGGCCCGGTTGTTCAAAGCACCGTTATTTTAACGTACCGTTAAACACTAACGACCCGTTAAATAGCTAACGAAAAGTTAGTTAACAGAACGTTCAAATTTGGTTGCTGGAAGGTGTTTACAACAGGCCGTTAAGTAATGGTATGATTAGAGGTTAACAGCCTGTTAAGGACCTAACCATTACCCACAATTCCTTGCATACTGTCCCATGATTCCCTGTCAAAATGGCATCGCAACCAGAAACACCTGTAATGACCCCAGTAACCTCTGACTGTAAAAAAAGAAAAAGAAGAAAAAATTTCAGTGCTGAAGAAGAGAATGTCATTCAGGCAATGTTTCAGGAAAATGCTGAGATTCTTAATAAAAAATTCAGCAATGAGGTGACTAATAAGGGCAAGGCTGCAATCTGGCAGAAAATAACAGATTGTGTAAACAACAAAGGTGTTTGCTGCCGTACTGTGGATCAAGTTAAGGAAAAATGGGGAAACATGGCCCATAAAGCAAAACAGACATTCACCGATTACAGGATGCAGCAGAGGAAGACGGGGGGAGGGCCCCCACCCCCAGAGATGAGCCAGGAAAACGGCAACCATCATAGATTCTACGAAGGATACAGCCTCTTTCAGCGGCGTTCCTGGAGGGATGGAAACTGAAATAAGCTCATGTGGTAAGAAATAAGAGGCCTAAATATAAGTACAAGTTGACGTAATGATAAATTCAGTCAATTGACAATATTTTTAACGAAATAAAGTTTGATTTTCCTGGCATAAAATGTGCAAATTCGATTTTTAGTACCACCATGTGGTCAAATTTAATCTAAGTTTACCATCGCTAACCATCGCTCAAAATTGTGTAAGATATATGCTTACAACTGGCATAAAACTAATGAGAAACAACTCGCAAACAACTCCTAAGAATTAAACTTACCAATTCATGTTATGTTGTGGTAAATTAACAGCTTGTTCCCAATATTTGAACAGTAGCGTCCATGCTAACATGTTTTGAGAGGAAGAGGAAGTGACAATCAGCGCCACCGTTGAACCTCAGTTATCCATTCAGACTATAACTCGCCTGTTTCAGAAAAGTTTACATACTACTAAATACATATAATTTTCTATCCCACCACATTTGTATTACAATAAATTCAATGAATTAATATTTCATAGTATGCAGATGATACAAAAATGTTAGGCATGATGAAATATCCCGGTTTTCAACGATGTAAGACAAAAACGTAATTTTCATCATTAATATCATTTAAAGTTTTTATTTTACTAACCTTGAGTTATAAATGATGTTTTCATCTATCAAACACAAAATTATCAGGTGTTTTCTCCAAATATAACGTTGATGTCATCGTAATATCCCATAGGCGTAACTGTTGCCGCTCCCCACATGTAACACTATGGTTGGAGGCTGTGTAGACGGGCAGGCATGTTTTCCATGGAAGATAAAAGTCGGTCAGTGCTGGTCAACAATGGGTGATGATAAGGGCAAATTGACCAGATAAAGATATGATTGTACTGACCACCACTAATGACTGACTAATTGGACAGATAACGATTTCACTTTGTTGTGATGATTTGGCAAACTGTCCAGCGAAATGCTGACTGGTCACTACGTGTACCTGAACGGTCAAGAGAAATGCTGACTAGTCGCCACGTGATCCTGTGGCGAAGTTCCTATATAAGCAGCACCATCAAGGTAGTCTAGAGAGACAGCCACATAGAGAGGAAGACAGCTTGAGGCACAGACGGGCGCTGAACACAGACCAACGGACAGCACCAACAGCCAAGGCTAGCAGATCAGCTGAGCAGAGAAGTCCGAAGAACAACCCTGGTCTCACCTGGTCAGCGCCTGGGAACTGCCTAGCCTCTCGCATGGTCTCCACCATATTCCGACTGTTGTAATTACTGACTGATATCGTTATATGCTGTGATAATTAAAGAACGGTGTTAAAACTTTTCATCCTGTGTCGTGTTATCGTGCTACATAGAGCACGTGTGGGTTCTTCTTTGGTGCCGTGACCCGGATTCCCCTTCAAACAAGGACAAGCCGCAAACAACGTGGACTGGACCCTGATCAGCTTGGTAAGTGGCTTTGACTTCTTCTTTATTCCGACTTCGTTATGGCAAGCCAGGATTTAGGTGACTTTTTGACCGGAATTGCAGGGCAAATAACAGGGCAATTAGCCAGTCTGTCCACGACGTTAGGCGCACAGGGTATAGCCCAAATTATAAAACCATTTGAGGGGGAGCCTACGAAGTTTAAAGAATGGATGAAAAGTATTGAAAAATACGCTGTGTTGACTAACTCAGGTCAAGATAGAATCAAATTAGTGGCGTACCAGTCAAGTTCAGAGGCAGTTAGCGATTATATTCATCGCTATTTGCAAGACCATGATCAGGCAACATGGCCGGAGCTAAAGCATGAACTGACTCGTAGATTTGCTGAAATAACTGACGCTCAACATGCCTTTATGTTGTTGAGAACTGTAAGACAGAAACACTGTGAAAGTGTACAGTTGTTTGCCGAACGACTGCTAAACTAAGCCGAGGAGGCTTACACAGGATTAGGTAGGGATGGAGGTGGTGTTGCCATAGAACGCCAATTAGTAGGTTTTTTCACAGATGGGTTAGCCTATGACTATCTCAAAATGAAAGTAATGAGAGAAAACCCTCCAAACATGGCTGCAGCTGTTGCATGTGCAACGCATGAACAGAATTTACGCACCCGATTTAACCTGAGACTAGGAAGGGGCAATAGAGGATTTGAAGATCAACGTAGGGAAGAACCCATGGAGGTAGACCATTACCGCCCAAGAGCGAAATGCTATAAATGTCAGCAATCAGGCCACAAGGCGAGGGACTGTAGGTCAGGCAATAGGAATAGTGTCAATGCAGTGACAAATAAAGAGGCGGAACCCATTGGTAGACCGCGAGCAATGTTGTGTTGGGCGTGCAACCAACCGGGGCATTTTAAAAGGGATTGCCCAAACAGAGAGAAAAATTATGGGATGAATTATGGAACATATAGGAGAACACCAAATGGAACACCTTTAAACTAAAAACTCCTTCTCATGATGAAACCGATGAGAAGGAGAAAGAGAGAACAGTATATACTATAAATTTAGCAGGAAATCCAAGTTCGTGTACTGTTAGGATAGGGAAACAACATTATAGATGTTTGATTGATTCTGGAGCTGAAGTATCTATTATTCACAGAAGGGTTTTTCACAAACTACAAGGACTCTATAAGTTAAGTAAAAAGAAGGTTTCACTACAGTCTGTCAATGGGAATGGTTTAGAAGTAGATGGTTGTGTAGACATCACTTTTCAAATGAGAGGAGTGACATTAACGCACAAATTTTATGTGGTAGGCAACATGAATAGGAATATGATTTTGGGAAGAGATTGGCTAAAACAACATGGCGTCCGACTGTACTACGACCTTGGAAGTTTAAGGATAGGAAAAACCTATGTACCATTGGAAGATGATCTGCACATTGCCTCCATTGTGCGTCTGGCTGGAGACACTATTTTAAAACCACAAAGTAGAAGTCTGTGCAGAGCAAAAGTAAAACAAGGGCCATATTTTCCCGATGACACACTTTACCAAGTGTCAGAAATAGATACCGGCTATTTATCTTGTGAACCAGGACTCATAGTAATTAACTCATTAGCGTGCATGAACAAAGATAGGAATGTCCCAATTATGATAGTGAACACCACAAACAAAACATTCAGGTTAAGAAGGGGGTGTGTGTTAGGAAGATTAGATAAGGTACCGGAGGAAAACTTAGTAACACTTGCAGAGAAATTAGGACACTCAACAAACCAACCTGTGGACGATGCATTGTTAGACGTTAAGGCTCCACAAGAGCATAAAGAGAAGATACAGAATTTAGTAGCTGGGTACAAGGACCTCTTTACCGCAAGTGACTTGGACTTAGGACATACAAGTACAGTACAGATGAAGATTGACACTGGTGACCATGCACCTATCAAGTTGAGGCCATACCGGACACCACTTAATAAAAGAAAAGTGGTTGACAAAGCCATCAATGACATGCTTGAGGCCAAGATAATTAAACGGTCTAGATCACCGTGGAGCTTTCCCATTGTAGTGGTGGACAAAAAGGACGGAAGTAAACGATTTTGTGTGGACTTCCGGTCCTTAAACAAGATTACCCGACCCATCTCCACGCCTCTCCCACTCATTGATGATATCTTGACACAACTGGGCAATTCAAAATACTTCTCCACGCTTGATTTAAAGTCGGGGTACTGGCAAATCTTGATGGATGAACAAGACAAGGAAAAGACAGCTTTTCCATGTCACCGTGGACTGTTTGAATTCTCTGTTATGCCTTTCGGCCTCTGTAATGCTCCCTCAATATTCATGGAACTCATGAATATAGTACTACAGGATCTAGAAGCATTTGCAATAGCATATCTAGATGATATCTTGATCTTCTCAAAAAACCTTACAGGATCATATGTTTCACATACAAACTGTTTTTTGATCGCCTGAGACAGCATTCGCTGAAGCTTAAACTTTCTAAGTGTAGTTTTGTCCAATCTGAAACGAACTATCTAGGATTCGTGATCAACCAGAGTGGGATCAAGCCAGAGGAACAGAAAGTTGAAGCCATACGGTCTATGGGAGCTCCAACATCTGTCAGAGAGGTCAGAAGTTTCATCGGGATGTGTAACTACTATCGGCGCTTCATTCCAAATTTTTCTAAAATTGCTGAACCAATTGTTTGGTTAACGA